AAATTTTTTTTTTTTTTTTTTTTTTTTTCATTATATCAGTTCTGAAACTTTAATCTAACAAGAAAATGACACAAATGAATTCATTCAAGAAAAAAGTATAATTATATGAATGATCATAATTTGCCTAGTATCTATGATTTTAGAAACTCCTTATGGGGCAAAAATTAATAATTTTCTTGAGAACTTTGCAACTCTTCAGAACATCGTCTGATATCTCCATATAATTTTTTTCAAGTCCTCTACTAAAATTCCTGGCTCTCTCAGGATTAAAATCCTTTGCCTCCAGCTACACTGTTGCATTGTTACCACAAACAAGAAATTTGTTTCACCTAGCTAAGTTACCTGATAAAACGTCATCAGTCATGTCATTTGCCTTACTTTGAATCATTTTCAGTCATGTCATTTGCCTAAATTTGAATCATTTTCAGTTTCTGACTTGATCAAACTAAAGAGGGCTCGAAACAAGCTCCTTCCGGTAGTCCAGGACGAATAGATTTTCTTGCTGGGCAAGTAACTTTTAAATCTTACTTGGTCAGTGCCCAATACTAAGTCATGGTTAATACAATCTTGAACAGGTCTTGAATTTTGGTAGTCGTCTTGAAAAGTCCTTGAATTCGGTTAAGGTCCTTGAAAAGTACTTGACTTCTTTATTAGGTCTTGAAAAGTCTTTGAAATTCACTATCTTGTCTACACCAGACCCCATTTGCTGTAAAATTAGATTATTTTGGCTAGGAAAATTTTGCTCATCCTCTGTGTAAGAACCTGCAAAACTCATAGCTAAGGTAAAAATATTTTTTGTGCGTGAACAATATTTTATTTCTGTTTCTTTATTGAGCCATTTTGAACTATTCTGAAAAACCAGGGGGATACTCTGGATTTCAAGTGACAAGGATGATCGAATGGGGGCAGAAATCAAAACCAAAAAAAAAATCCCTGGACCTAAAATTAACCCCCCAAAAAATCCCATGCCAAATTTCCAAAACTTAAAAATTTCCAGGAAGCAAAACAGGTTTGGTTGTTCTTTATTGGCCGGGATATGCGTGAGCACTACCACAAATCTTCAGATTGTTTTGAATACCCCAAAAATACCTGCCAAATTGTCCCACCCAAAACATTCCGATCATCCCTGTCACTTGAAATTCAGAGTACCCCCCTTGGGACAAATGAAAGGGCTCAGAGTTGCTTATCAACCTGTTGCTCTTTTTTGTTTTGTTTTGTTTTTTGTTTTTTTTTTCACAGACGGATAATGACCCTCCACATAGCTTCAGTCAAACATTTCAGCTTTTTAAAAAAGATGTGAACAACTACTTTGTCCTAAATGACATGTTTCGACTATCTCTTCATCACGGATGAACAAGCAATGCACAGAAATATGGAGGACACTTTGTGTACGAACAGGAGAGGCAAATGTGATTGTTGTTTTAGAACGCATGTCATAAAAGAAGCAAGAATCAGGAAAAGGTTGTGAATTCCTTCATGAAATGTATGTAGCCCACCTTTGTGAAGTGTTTGATTAACTTTTGACCTCCAATGGAAATCTCTCCATGACGCTTTTGCAGTGCAAACAGAATTTAGATGACACAGCACAAGAATTAGGAAAATCATTAGGCTGTGCTTCATTGTCAGTGAACAGTGGAATGCCATGGAAAACACAAGGTTGTTAAGAGTTAATCAAAGTGAAAGGACACTCTTCATTTTGTGGTTTCGGAAAATGTCCATACCTCCCTCATAAAAGAGACTGGAAATTCCAGGTGGTTGGGGAACCTGGGGCCAAGGAAGTGGTAGGGGGGAGAGGGTGATTCATGGGAAAAGTTTTCAGGTCCCGGTTGTTTAAAGTCGGGGTTGCAAAAACCCAAGGCTAATGCAAAATTTAAATCCAGACGATACACTACATGCTAGCATATTTTTCTCTGAACTAAAAGATAGGAATATTCCAGGAAGTTTGGAATCTCTGGAGGGGGATTTTAGAGGGCTGTTTGAGGACAATTCAGAGGGTTGGAGAGGCTAATGATTGAAACACAACCACCCCACCCCACCCCACCCACCCCCCTCCCTTTCCACCTCCTTCTTCCTCTCTTGGTGGTGGTATGGATATATTCTGGAACCACACATGTCAAGACAAAATAAATCCAGTAACAATAAGTGCTATACACAACATATAGGCATAATAATATATCACAGCTGTGAACAGTGTACATTGCTGAAACAATAACAGTCTCAGCATTGCTTAAACCTTTTTATATTTTTGCGCGTGTAGACTTATCCTGTACAAGAGAACTTTGGAAAATAAAGTTTTAAACAACTCAGTAATAGCATTTGCAACTTTCATTGGTAACATGTCTACATAACCTAGTCAATTAAGTATGTTTTGAATAATACCTTTTTTGTAGAATAAAATGAATATTTTTTAAGGGTTGCCTCACCAGTTTAATATAAGCCCTCTACCCTTCCCCCCTGAAAATGGCTGGAGGGGATTTCATACAGAAAATAACACTTTGCAATCAGAACAATAGGAAACAATCACTAAGTAACAGTAAAACAGTTACAGATGAAACAAATTCTTCTCATTGGTAAAAAAAATTCTCCTCAAAGTTATAAAATAATAGTGTGGAGTATATACAGTCTGATAGTAACCCAGGTGCTTAACTTAAAATTACCTATCCACCTAGTCATATGGTTGTCAGAAAAAAATTAACCAAAAAAATGCTAAATTAAAGTGACATTTGAAAAAAACACAAGTACAAAAAACTGACTTTATTTCACAAAGATATAATTACAGATTTATAGGGATATGTAGTTTAATACACAATAAAATTTCAATATAATACAGACGATGGAGAAAATCATCTCAGGTTTATGTAGTATCAGCTAAAACTGTTGGAAGCTTTACATTAACTAAAACGTAAAACCTATACATATCTTTTAGAGAATATTTTCCTTCACATTCTGTGAAAGTACCTTATTGAATAACTTAGTTTACAAAAATAAAACTGTTAAACTTGTAAAACTGTGCTGCATCTCTGAGAAACTGTAAGCTACATTGAAAAAATATCAGCTCAATTAAAAGCTGTTAAGTTGCCCTCAATTCCATCACATAACATAAAAAACACTTTTTTTTATTAAAACATAATTAATAAAATTAGTGTTTTTACCAGGACAACACCTCCTATAGATATATTAAATATTTTGCTTATAAAAACTAGTACAAAGTAGGCTTTGTGCATAAGTTTTGGCATGATTATCCTGTCCTCTTACAGTACAAAACTCCACTTAATACAAAAATACTTTATACAATTTGAGTTTCACAAAGATGTGGCAAAATTTTATCTGTAAGTGTACGCTGTATCAGCAGGTACCAGTCCAACTGTGGAAAGAAAAAATTACAAATTAATCATCATACAGTTCCAACAAATAGCATGATTAAATCATTTACATCAGATACATTTTTAACTTAAAAGTTCTTGTTGTTGTTTTTTTCCCTACTCTTTTCAAGCATGACTGACTTAGGAGTCAAACTTGGGGCCACTGGGAAAAACCCCACCCAGTGACTTGTGCCTGGGTGACTGAGGTAGAAGAAAAAAATCAATGTGAAAATGTGTCAAATTTTTGAGTGAATTACAACATTTTCTTAAATTATAAAAAGATCACCATAAGAAAAAGAAAGATTTTACTGGGTTTTTACTGTGGCCCATAAATGAGGATGGAAACAAACATTTTGCCAGAGGAAAACCTGTTGGCTATTGACAAGGGTGACCAAGGAGTTGAACTTGGGACTATCGAGAACAAATCCAGCTAGCGGTTTGGCTGGGGATTCAGTGGCAGATCCAGACCTTTAGATAGGGGGGTGGGGCAGTCATCCAGACCCTGAAGTAAGGGGGGGTGGTCTTGAAAAAAACATTTTTGACCCTTTGGGCCTCAGTTTGGTCTAAAACTTAGGGGAAGGAGGGCGTGCCCCTCCCCTGGATCTCTGCCACTGGGATTGAAGTCAGGGTCTCTGGATTGCAATTCCAGCCCTCTGCCTCCTTAATTTGAGAGAGACATAAGGTAATTTGAAGCTTCAATGGCAAGATATCTTACGTTTGTGTTTCCTTGCAAAATCCTTTTGTTCTTTACTAAGTGGCGCGCCTGCCCCAGGTCTTCCCCACATGTTGTCCATGGTTTTCAAATGCTACAAAATGTAACACATTAAAAATCATCAACTTCTGTTTGTCTAATTAATAAAACCATACATTTGTATGGAGCCGACTTTCATACAATGTTCAGGTAGCACTTCTCAGATCAATGCTTGCCTGTTGCAAGCTTGAAGATAGTAATGTGAAGAGATCTTTAAAAGTTACATGAAATGCTGATTTTTCCTTGACCTTGTTACTTGTTATGTCCCTACTATCCTAGAGCCTAGCACAGGCTAAAAAAATATATATGTTGCTGGAAATGTGGTTTTCAGTGTCCCTGTCCTGAATAAGTTGTAAAAATTTTATGCATGCCTAAACAAGGTCAGGTTTTCATCACTTATCAGGACCCCTACACCCAGACTTGAGTAAATTTCCACCCCTCCAAAAAAAAAATCCAACCCAATGAGTAGGATATGCCATTAATTTATTATGCATTTATAAATGTATTACATTAAGTTGCTACCTCAACAGACTTGATTCGCTGCTCCTCTGCACTCTTTTTCCGCTGTAGATCTCTCCAGTGAGCTTGAACTTCAAGGTCAGTGTGATAGTCGTAGCTTTTCTCATTCTTTGGTCTCCTTATATTCAATACCTATGGTCAAAACAATAGTAAACATTAAGGCTAGGTCCACAGAAAAAGAAATCAATGCCGAGAGTAAATAGTTACTAATTTTGCCTTAAGTCATCAAGCAAATTTCCCTGGAAAATGGCATCTAAGGTTATTATTGTACCTGTGATGTCACATCTGACGTGTTTTTCTTAGGAGCAATAATTTCTTTAGTAGTCGGATCATAACTGGGTTGTCCAACTATTCCAGACCGTACCCATGAAGCAGCATCTGTTTCATTCTAAAATGACAAAAAAGAACAACACTTTTAAACTCCACACAATATCATATCGCGTAAAGAAAACACACTCGTCAATTTAAATAGTACATTTCTTACATTTAACAGGTCTTCATGTTCAGCTTTTCTTCGACTTTTGCTTTCTTCAGTCTGAGTCACTGTATATAAATTTAAAGAAAAGTCAGTGTATTGAACTTTTGAGTGACTGAAGCAATACTTTGGTTCCAAGCGGGAGGATGTGGGTCTGGTGTGGGCACGCAGTAATTGGTGTAACATGCACTGTTGTGGTGACCCAGCCAAAATAAACTTTTGTCTAATCCAATACAAAAACCCAACTCACACAAAGTTGAAAGTAAATGCTGTTTTGCTTGTGTGTCCATTTTTCCAGCCGGAGAATAATCCTACAAAGTAATGAAAAAAGTGCTAGTTATGACATGTGTAAACCCACAGGTTTTGCCCTAAAAGATAGCCAGAGTGGCACACAATTGGCACACTGTCTTTTCATATAAAAGCCTAGCCTTCTTATTAGTCCGCAATTACGTTTCATAGATCCTTAAATAAAATTAATGGCAGAGATCAAGATAATCCAGCTACTACAACAAGCCCTCCCATTCATACTAAAACAACATCAATTTTTAAGGATAATAAACAGATTCTTTTTCACTTCAGAAATGTAACTAAATGTAATGGACACAACCTCAATAACATCTAATAAATTTGTATCCCCTGCTAGGGAGGATCTAAGATTTTGATTGAAACCTAATAATGATTGTATTCTGAGGTGAGGTTTAATTATTATATCAAAAAGGGGTAAGAATATGAAGCAGTATCTGGAATACTGGTTGGGGCTGGAGGGGGAGGGGTGCATAGGTAACCAAGGAACCCACCAGAGACTGACCCCAATTTTCTGGTCCCTTAATACTAAATACCCTCAAAACTTCATACTGCTAATAATATTAATTGCTGCTACCCTCAAACTGGTTGAGTTGTGATCACTTGTGCATGAAAAATGTACTTTTTACTTGAGATAGGCAAGACAACCTTGGGTTCACTGAAATCACAGCTCTTGAGAATAAGCTATTAATAACTTTTGGAAGCATTTAAAGTAAAAGTGGTGTTAATGTCTACTTACACTTGAATCATGCAATACTTTGCCAGCTGTCCGAGTCTGGATTTGCCCTTCGGCATCTTTTATTGGAGCACCTGCCCCTGATCTTCCCCACGGGTCATAAACATTGCGCTTATTTTTGGGGCTGAAATCACGCTGAACTGTGTCTACAGGATAAAAGGAAATTTTTTCTTGCTGAAGTAATACTGTATTTACTCAAAGAAGCACCACCCCCGACTAAGTGTCACCCTTAATTAATTTAAGTGCCTACAGTATGAGTAAATCATTAATAATTGTTCTTATTGTTACCTCCAGTATAACTTTTGGTCAACGTTTGTGCCTTCTTTACTTTCAAGTTTCCATGTTCATCAACATTTGGAGCTCCAGCACCTGGACGATTGACTTCAATACCAATTCCTGCCTGTTGAATTTTTAACAGGTTTCTATGATTATATAGTTTTCTTATTGATTGCACATTTAAGGTAATTTTAATAATAATATTGCAGGTCACTTTGAAACAATAGTTTTTTTATTTTACCATGTCATTTTCATCCCTTGCTCGTAGTGGTTTGACAATTCTTCCTTGTTGATCAAATGTTGGTGGGTTTCCGTAACCTCTTCCCCAGGGATTATACTGCAACAGATAAACATATTTTACCTTCAGAGAACTTGCTTGCTTCATCCTCACCCTTGCCCTCACCCCCACCCTAACCCTAACCCTTTTTTACTCTAAAAATAACTCATCACATGCTCAGTACACTCGTTTAGTGCTTACATCATTTCTTTAAAACCCAGGGCATGGGTACCCTGTGGTATTTTGCTCCAGAAAGAAATGCCACTATACAGTTACGCGACTTAACAACTGCAAACAAGCTGATGTGGAATCTCCATGCCCTAAGCCTCTGCCTTACCCTTCCCCTCACTCTTATCCTTCAGCCTCATTCTTACTATTACCCCCTCCCCCCTCACCTTTATACTGACCCTTACTCTTACCCTCTTGAACCCTAACCTTGCCGTCACGCACACCCACACCCCCACCCTGACACTCGCTATTGTCCTTACCCTCAGCCTCACACTTACCCTGGATCATTACACGTTTCTGGGGAACTGCCCACCTACCCCTTCCCTAAGCCAACATTTTGCCCTAAGTGAGAAGTAAGTGTTAATGCTGGCTTAGGGGAAGGGTAGGTGGGGAGTTTCCCCAGAAATGTATAATGATCCCTTACCCTTACCCTCTCCCTGCTCACAACCCCTACCCCTATTATCCTCACCCTTATCTTTATTTAGCAATGTCAGCAAGAAGCATTTGGTTATGATACCGGCTAAAGACCTAAGCAGCTGGGTTAACTTAATTCCAATAAGCACCAAATAGCACTGAACTCATTTACTGTTACAAGTTGAGAGACTGGAGGAATCCACACCCATATCAAGGCATAAAAACTATTCAAAAGAAACGCTCTCATTCACACCTCAAATGAATCTCGATCTTGACTGAAGGTCTGTGGATTCCTTCTGCTAACATGCCTGAGTTCTTCTATGTCCTTGGACAGGGTCGTGGGAAAGCCTGCTTTCACAGTTCCTTTACAAAGACAAAATGAACATTGTTACTTGCCAACTCACAGGCAACTCAGCAGTTAAAACCACTAGAGGGAAGGCCTAAATATACCTGCCTGGGTGGTACTTAGATGGTACATGTAAGTAGAAGATCATCATTATTGAAAAAATTTTAATCCATTTGTGGATTAGAAAATCTTAGCAGCATTTGTGTATATTTTTCTCTCTTTCTTTAAATAATGAACTTTCTGTCACAAAGTATCAGCTTTTAAACTGGTTGTTAAAGGGCTTCGCACTTCAGTAGGTCTTCAATATTTTTACCTCTTCCACCTTCCAAAGGGGTTTTGTTAAAGTATAAATTTATTTGAATTTCTTTAGGTCTAATGTCAGTGATAGGTGAGGGATCTGAGAGGGAAATTTGCTATTTTTTCATGAGGTGTTTCTACGAGATTATTGCATCAAATTTCTTTCTATATGGATGTCTCAACCACGTGAACACATTTTGAGACAATCACAAGGAAACTAGGCTTGACAAAATTTAGAAGCTGCATTAAATAAATTGCCACTTACCAGATCCTGTTTTCCGGGGAGCCCCAGCACCTTCTTTTCCAAACTGGTCTGTGTTCATCTATAAACAACATAAAATGATTGGGGTTTTGAGGGGTTTCTTCAAAATGTTGTCAAGTCTACTAATGTGAATTAAGGATGGCTCCTCACTGATACCTGGCAAAAACCCCTATTTTTCTCATTTTGTTTCACACTCCCTTTATCTTTGATTATGTCCATACCCAGATGAAAGGAACATTTTGGTGCTGATATTGCACTTTTTGAACTCGCATGACTGGCCACGCCCATAATTATGCAAAATTTTAGTTTAATGCTAAACATGTCAAATTAATCGGGGAATTTTAATATATTATATTACTTGGTAATTCAATGTTTTCTACTTGCCCCAGTCTCCCTCTAAAATGAAAACATTACAGTTTACATAAAACAATTAATTTCCAAAAACCCCAATCAGTTCCATAAACCTTGTCATAAATAAAAAACAATTTAAATAATATTAAATGTTTTACAAGTGGTGTAACTTTGGATCAAAATAGGTAGAAAAAAAGGGCGTCACAAGTCAAGTGACCAGGAAAATCCATCAATCGAAATGAAACTGATATCCTTTTTTAAAAAGAGTCAGGCCTACAAAGTTTTAAGTGTAGAGGTCTAATCCTCTTTAAACCAGAGAACCCTGCCCCACCCCTACAAACTTCCTGTGACCGATTCTTTAATTCACCTGAGTAGTAGTTATTGTATTGTAGAGTCTAGTAGTATACTAAAAGTAAGTATGCTGCTGTCATGAAATTCTCCAAAACCTCTAAATTCATTCATTTATCCTGGCATAAAGCTGTCTATAACGGTACTCTATTTCTGTTGTTAGTTTGTTGTTTTGTTATTTCTAGTACTGAAATTTCTGTAAGTACAGAAGTTTTAAATTCCTTTGTTCATTGTTTAGGGTCTGTTGTGAGAATATCACTGATTAACTTACATGTTGCAGTTCATCTTCAATGCTCTTTCTTCTTTGAAGCATTTTCCTTGTTCTTGAGGTTTCAATCATGGAGTCTGCAAACAAACAATTCCCTCATCAGGAAATGAGAAAATCTACACATTTTTTGCCTCATTACCAAATGCTGCATGTCGCTAAGTCCTGAAATTCAAAACAGTGGAAATATCGGGGGCGGGGGGAGGGTTCACAGAAAAAAATAACACATTCCCATTTTTGGATATTTTAGGGTATTTAAAGAATACCCACAAAAATACCAAATTTGGAAGAGTGCGACAAGTCACAATCAGGGAACTTGGTTAGGAATTCCCTGGTTGGGACTTGTCTCACTTTGCCAAATTTGGGATTTTTATGGATATTTTTAAATACCCTAAAATATCCAAAAATGGGAATCCGTTATTTTTTCCTGTGGTTGTTCGGCAAAAGACATTATAAATTCCTTCTTTCCTAATCACACATTCTCTTTGTTGAGCAACACAGTTTTTCTTTTTTTTTCTTTCACATAATCATTTTTCATTAAGTACTTTTAATTCACATGCTGTACCTAATGTGAATTTTTTAAGTAATGGTAAAGGAGAATCAAAATTCATCACATACTCACCTAATTCATGTCTGTATTTTTTATCTCGTCCACCATACCTCTGCAAATATAGAAATGTCTAAATAATTATTGTGTCAGGATGCATGACTTCTTACATGATGATTTAATACATGATTGTAAGGAAAGATTACAGATTATTCAACCCTTGATAGACATTTAAAGTGCTTCAGACAGTAATATTTTTTACTCAGCGCAAGTTTGTAAAGAATAATACAGTGAGGCTTACATGTAACATGCCGTTGTCGACTTTATCATCGTCATCATTACCATTATTATTACTATAATAATTTATTAATATTACACACTGCTTCACTCACCAAACCAGGTTCAACATCAGTTTTAGCTGCATGCTTTGGAAATCTTAGCTCAGGGTCGGCACGGAAACCTGTGGCAACTCTTCCTGATTCCGTTCTGTTTGGAGCCCCTCCTCCAACTTGCTGACCTCCAAAGGGCAGTTGATTACCCTAAAATTAGGTCAAACCACAACTACAGTTGTAACTGTCATTAAGGAATGTGTTTACCCAGTTAATATCCATATATACTCCCCCAAAAGAGGGTTTTTTGGTTTGAATCTCCCCCACTCGACTTCTGGAAATATAAGTTTAGGTAGTACGTATTCTTGTTTAACCCATTTGCCCCTGGAAATTTTGCAAAAAATCCTGGTTTTGAAGCTAGTCGTGCGGTTTTCTGGTCACTGTCGTCACTGGAGGCAAAAAGCTACCCAAAATAGCAAAAACTAAACTAGCTGAGAAAGTTGCTAGTACGGCTTTCTGTAATTTAATGGGCCCCAGTTGTTCAAATATTGGATAGCCCAATACACCGGATAAATTACTATCCAGTGAATAAACTTGTATTAGAGAAACCAGCTGCGTTATCCGGTGCGTAGAGATTTATCCACTGCATAGCGGTATCCACCATCAATTGAACATTACTGGGTCCTGGAGAATAATTAATTTTATTAATTAAATGATAGTTCATTATTTTTATTACTTATTATTGTAAATCAAAGAGCATCCTTACCTCCTGAACAAGAGACTGGATGTTCTTGCTTCTTTTTGTGTCAGGTTTTTCATCCATACCAGACTGTGACAATATACATCAAATGAATGCAATGTTATGTTAATAAGTTATTGTCCTTCACTCACTTAGAATTTTCATGTTGTAACTCTTTAAGGTCACTCAGAAAATTTCCACAGTTCATACTTTTTTAAACCAGTCAACAATGTTTAGGTATTACTGAATTTATAGCTTATTAACCTTTGTCCTTACAAGAGGTACGGTGGGAAGGGGGGGACTTGGGTTAATTTTTGCTGGGTATGTGCCGCTGGAGGGGATTATACATGGAGGGGCTTATTTTCGCCGCTACACACCCAATTACTGCATATACCCAGAAACTTGAAATCTTACTGGCAGCCATGCAATATTTTATATTTTAGGGAGAAAAATTATTAAAAACAGCACTCTGCCACTTTCCCTTTCCCTTTCCCCCCTCCACACCCACCCTGCAAAAAACAAAACTAATATTACGGTTTGTTATAATATATACACACTCACATTCAGAGGTGCACCACCACCCGGTCTCCCCCAAGGATGATAGCTTCTTAGTGCTTCAAGATCCTGAAAGTTTTTGAGAGACCAAAANCTGCCGCTTTCCCTTTCCCTTTCCCCCCTCCCCACCCACCCTGCAAAAAACAAAACTAATATTACGGTTTGTTATAATATATACACACTCACATTCAGAGGTGCACCACCACCCGGTCTCCCCCAAGGATGATAGCTTCTTAGTGCTTCAAGATCCTGAAAGTTTTTGAGAGACCAAAACAATGCCAATATTATTAATGAGACCAGAGGCAATAATCATTGATTACAGACCCACGTTCATCACTTACGGAAAGGAAATCGAGTTGAAAGGAGTCCAGTTTCCCAGCTGAGATGCCCCTGATAAAATCAGAGGGGGCAGCTAATTGACAGTCGCCCCTGATACCTCGCAAATTTGTGGCTTTGTACCACAGGAACACCAAGATTAGGATGCGTTTTGACAAATGCGATTAAAACAAAAGTGAATGTTAAGGGTGCACTTTTTCAAGAGAATCCAACATTAAACTAGATCCTTGAGATTCTTTTCTTCTGTTTAGTGACAAATGAAACAAAAATCCAAAAATGGATTTTTGAACATGCTAGCAATATTAGTGCGGGCCAAGACCATCTGTGGTTGTTTGTCAATAATATAATCAATGATTTTATATACCTTTCTCTTTTCCTCCTGTATTGCTTGCCTCTGCCTTGCTTTCTCTTCATAATGTCTTGCTAAAAACTCATCTGAAAGAGTAAATTTTAGTATGCCTTAATTTTTTAACAAAAAATAAATCCAACTTTGAGTCAAATATTATTACCTTGTGTTTGTGCTAAAGTTTGGTTTTTGAGGGCATCTTTTTCACTGAAATTGCAAATTAAAGTTTGATCGGTTAATTACAATAATTTTATTTTATCCTAATAATAAGATTGTAAAATAATAATTATTGTAAGATCCTTACACTCATACAGTGACTTTACTATCGCTATGTGAGGCATTACCACCACTTAGATAAGTTATATGAGTACAGCTGTAGTACACGTAATTACATCATTAATGTACTGCTGTTAAGGGTATAACCCTTAATAAAAAAATTTCAAAAAAATATTCCAAATTTGCCTTAATTTTGTGCAATCTTAAGATTTAAGTATTACATGGCAAAAGTTCTGCCAAAGAGGTTTCATCTGAATGGTAACACCACAAGATTTTGTCCAGATTTAAAAGTTAGAGTGACAAATCATCTCACCCTTGATAACTCAGTCATGTCATCAATTGGGTTCATCGTTGTCAAGGGCAGTGGCGGATCCAGACCCTGAGGTAAGTGGGGGGCGGGGTCTCAAAAAATACTTTTTTCAGTCTTCGGGCCTCAGTTTGGTATAAAAATAAGGCGTGGGGAGGGGGGCAGGTCCCCCAGGCCCCTCCCTTGGATCCACCACTGAAGGGAGTGGCCCAGGGAGGGGGGAACTTGAATAATTGTCCAATGTTAGGGCTGTTGCTGGTCAAAGGTTTATCTTAAAAGAATCCTAAGACATATATTTCTTCCCTGTAAACAGAACTATAACCCATGTTTTTGAACCCAGTTTAAAACAAAGGACAAATTGTTCAGTTGTTTCTTTACCAAAAATCATGGCCTTGTTTAGGGCAAGCTCATGTAATTGAATACACTTTGCGGGATAAAAAGAGGCCATTGGCCACACCCTGTCCAGTGCACCATAAGGGAGTACCCTTCCCCGAGGTGGGAAATTCTAGAAATCAGAGAGACTTCATCAGACACAAAAGATGGGTCAGCCAAGTTTAGGACATGCCTCTTTACATGAACATGACAAAAAACAAGAAAATCAGACTTTCCTTTTAAATTTTTTACACTCACGTTCTCTCTTCCAGCCATAGTGAGTTATTTGGGCGTGGTGCAGGCGCAGGTCTTCCAACCTTTGTAGCAGCATCTGTTCCATAAAGAAACCCTAAGGGTCTGTTTGCCTCTTCTTTGAGTTGGGCTTGACGAAGGACCTCATCTGTACCATAAATCATTCTATTGCTTGCTGAACCACCGGGAATCTATAAATTAAAGGAGACATTTAACTAAAAGTATTATTATATGCCCCAAAATAAGCAACTCCTGTCCATTTTTGACAGTGAAACAAGCACAGCCAGCAAAAAACTGCAGGAGCAGAGAAGGGGAGAGCATGACCACCCACCCCCCCCCCCCCCCCCCCCCCCCCCCCCCCCCCCCACCCCCCCCCCCCCCCCCCCCACCAACTCCACAAAAGAAAAAGAAGACGGAGACAAGGGAAGACGAAAAAAAAAAAAAATAACATATATTATAATACAAATATTATAATAAATATAATAAAAAATTTGGGTTATGGGTACAAGAAAACCCTACTTATATACAAAAACATATTTTGTTGTCTGCAAACCCCCGAAAACAAAAAAAAAAAAGAACAATTAAAAAAAAAATTTATATTATACCCCCAAAAAAAAAACACCCCTCCCTTTTTTAAAAAGAAAAAAACACACCCCCACAAAAACCCCCACGGGCAAAAAGGGGGGAGGCCGACCCCCCCCCCCCCCCCCCCCCCCCCACCCAACACCTCCAGAAAAACCATTTCTCCTGTCAAACTTTTAAAATGTGAGATGTGGAACAGGCAAGGTTATAAGAGGGTTCACCAAAAAATTTTATTCAAGATTTGGGATCAGTATCTTCTTAATAGCGACATTAAACAAAAAGAAAAAGGAATATTTTGAAGGCAAGAATCAGCCAAGGTACAATTTGTTAGTACAGATCACTAGAATTACTGGTTCACGCTGAAAAACCATTGTGTGTTATTTTAGGGTGTTCGAAATATTGTGAAATAAATTTGTACCATACAGGGATACCAGGAACAAACTCTCTTCAAAATTAAAGCCATTCAGGTAACCAATCAATGGAGCTTTTTGTAAACAGTGTTTGTCTAAGCTAAAAGAAAGTGGTTTTACATACCCGTCCTTGTACAAAATGTTGCTTCTTAGTGAATCTATCATTCAGTGGTCTTGAATCATTTGAGGAGGATACTGCCAACTCAAACCCTTTACTGTGTGTATTTTGTAAATGATAATTCTTGCTTAATGGCCGCTGAGTGTCCTGCATGGAGAAAGGGAATGCTCTCTGCGGCTCCTTCGGTAACACTGTAAGTATAAATAAACCAACTTACGAGAATGTTGACTTAATTTTGAGCTTGGATTGCTTGTTTACTCATATCAGACCATACTGAAAACTACCGCTTACAAGCCCTGGGTTTATATACATCTTTGTAAGGAGTCCTGGGAGGGCTTAATAATGGAGGGGCTTGTGTCCAAGGAGATTTATGACCAGAACAGAATAGTGCTGATCAAAATATGTTTGTACTTCCTGATTTTCAACTGAGTTTTAAAATGACATAATAAATTAATAATGTTATATTATTTTCAATTATTGAATTCATGTCAATACATTTGAAAGGGGGCTTACATCCGCGGGAGGGGGTCATTTTGTTTTCGGGTAAAATTATGGGCCTATAATGGTGGGGGGGGTGGTGCTTATCCAGTTTAAGTGGCAGTTTACAATATGAGTGGAGGTCACCCCTGTATAAAATGGACAGAGATGCTGGTCTGAAAATTAGAATCAAACCCTTGATAAGAGCAGTCTGGGTAGGGCACAGGGTTTAAATTTTACATATTTGACCCCTCAGAGAGATCACACTAAAAAGGAAAAAAAAAGAATGATGATGTTGACATCAAATGCTGTCTTCAACTTCACAGTATGACAGCATTAATCTAAATCTATATCTATCATCACACACAGCATTTTATGTTATTTTATTTACCATTTCATCTTATTGTTATATCCTATATATCAAGCCGTTACATACACACAGAGCCTGAAACTCCACTTTTTACAACTCCTTTTATCACACTATCACCTGTATTACTAAAAAAGTTAAAATTAAAGCAGTGCTCTTATCGCCGTAGTGCAGAAAGTGAGAGGCTTCAGCCTGCCCAGTCTGAGCAACAGAACAGGGGAACATGACATGAGGTGCAGACTTCTAATCAGTCATCTTACCAGTGCTTTTATTGCTTGGGTCTGAACCATAAACAAGCCCGCTTCCACCTGCACCACCAGTGACTTTGCCACTATCGAACCACTGAGTTTTGTGATGATGATAGCCTTGCTGAAACTTGACCGGGTTTGCAGCATCCCTGTAAGGGGTCGATCACCCACAGGCTATTTTAAGTTTTCTCTTTCAAAATCAAAACTTGTTGTGTCAAGTTTTTCCTCTCAATAAATCATGGATAATCTCAACGAGAACATATTTGGCAAAACAGGTAAAACTCCCTGACTATTTTCTCACATACACCAATTTTATAAATTTAATGTCAATGTGCTAAAGTATATGGTTGGCACGAGTTTGTCAACATCTTATACAGTGTAACGGTCTACAAAACAACACTTCTTTCAGTTTTGAGGTAATGTAACAAAACACAAACTCTTTTCTCTTGAGCTGGGGAAGTATACCTTCAGTTCCTGTTTCACCACCGCCCACAAATTTATTTAAGCTACAATCTTGGACACAATAAAATGGAACAGCAAACTCACAATCCCCCAGCAATCAAGGATGAACCTGTGCAAAGGCCAAAACCCACCATTTTCCCATTTTTAATTTGGAGGGGAGGGTGGGGGTCTAAATTTTCCTTTATTTTGTCCAAGATTGCAATCATGGACACAACAAAATGTAAAAGCAAAAACCCTAACACCCCAAAATCAAGGTGAAGCTGCGTGACAACCAAAACACGCCATTTTCCAATTTTTGACTTGTTGTGAGGGGGGTCTAAGACAGTTTTCCATTTATTTTGTCCCTGATTGTGGCTGTAGATCTAGCCCTTTAAAATTCCACAAATATGGTGTGAAGACAATGTTTTAAGTATTTTTAGAACAGCTGATCGGAACTGTTGTTCTTTACTTGGACATGATTGTTATTCTATGCACTCTATGCACATGCATAAAACAGGTTAAAACCCTGACACCACCACTTGAACCTCTTGATCAACCACTTCTTTAGTAGTATTAAATCAAAGCGTGTACTAAATCAAAGTCGTCTCCGAACAGATCTTCGTCAACATGGCCAAGGAATGGGTTTTTAATCATACATCAGCAGCCCGGGTCACTTCTCGTTTAATTACATGACAACGATTATTGTAAAAGAAGACTTCATCATAAATTCCCTTCCAATCAAACAGCTATAAACAAAGCAATGCTTGAAAACGACTGTTTAACCCCGTGTACTGTTGTGAGAGAGGAATTATATAAAGGCATACGCGGTTTTCTTTACACAAGCTTACATTCTTTACGTTAAAGATTATAGTACTCGATCATCCGGCGATCGCTGAGGCTCTTTAGGAACTTCACTCTAATATAATATTAATGTAACAAATGCAAGCAATTCTAAAGTCATGTTGACACAGAAACGAACAAATAATCACAAAAGATCTACGATGGCCAGTCGAATTTGTGTTGTCGCGGGAGACTAGACATTTTACGCGCCTAAATCGCAGATCTTTTGTAAGAAGAAACAAAATGCCCTTTGAAGTTCGTTGAGTAAATCAGATAAGAGAATTCTCACTTACATTTGATGCTGAAAAGTAAATTGATGAAATTCTTTGATGCTTTTCCTTACAAGATCGCATAGAAGGAGACCATCTTACTTCATCGACTCTTACGTTGCTATAGCAACAAGTGAAAAGGATAAGCCCCGCGGCACAACAAGCGAAAACAAGAAATGCAGAAAATATGTAAACTATCTTGTTTGCGGTTTAACATTTCCTTCAGTTATAGATCTGGGTCTGAGAAGGAAAAAGGGATAATGGGTTTTTGTTGCATTTATAAGCTGATTGATTTCATAGCTGCAACACTGCTAAGAATATCTATAAAATTTACAATTTGTGCGATTTTTTTCTTTAAACTAGTGGATGAATGGATTTTTCAAACTCAGTGAAAAGAAACTAATGAGGCGATGACGCTCCTTTTTTTGGCTTGACAGATGATAAGATACGTAATTTACCTTCGTTTACTCTGTTAACAGTGTCTTATATTGGGTCTTGATTGTGCATGGCTTGCGACAATTAACCCACGCCTTTGAGCCGCCCGTGCGAATCCACCTCCTTTCTACCGCTTGTGACGTCATCCGTTTTTAATGGTCAAGGATAACTTTGTCTGCCAACTTGTGCAGAGTGAAGAGATCTTTCAAACCATACCAGAATGAGCACAATTCAGTCAAGGACACCGGAGAAAAAGGCAGAAAACCAGGTAACATTGACCTGAAAATTTCCATGAAAATCTTGTTCTACTGTCCACCTATACCTTTGCTTTCATCTAATGCTAAGATCCTAAAAGCTTTCCTTAAAACTTTTCCCACCAAAATGAAGCATACTAAATGCCCCGCAAGAGAGAAAAAATAAGGCAAGAAAAGCGAAGAAAGAGGAGAGGAGAGAAAGCAAAAAGTAAAAGACAAGACTACTGTGTCACTTTTAACCCCCCATCTTCTTCTTCTTCTTCTTCTTCTTCTTCTTCTTCTTCTTCTTCTTCTTCTTCTTCTTCTTCTTCTTCTTCTTCTTCTTCTTCTTCTTCTTCTTCTTCTTCTTCTTCTTCTTCTTCTTCTTCTTCTTCTTCTTCTTCTTCTTCTTCTTCTTCTTCTTCTTCTTCTTCTTCTCCTTCTTCTTCTTCTTCTTAAGACAGTCTATACAGATTCTCTTCTCTGACGGATCACAGGGCAGGTTACCCCTCTTCTGACTGGCGGTTCACACCTACTAAGTTTAGAACTGGCACTGTCTCTACTAATTCGTTTTGGGAGTAAAAGTTTCGTCAGATAAACAAAAATGATTTTGAGAAGCAAATATTAATTTCTCTCCGCAGAAACAAAGTGACACTTTCTGCATCATGGATCAAAAACCAAAAACCGTCATTCACAAGATGTTAGCTGGATTTCACAACATTTTCTTGCGTTCAGCTAGCTAGGAAGCAAACTAGTCACCGTCCTAAAGATTACATTTCTCGGACTGATCACTTTATATTCCGGGTCCACAACAATGTTGCCAAACCTTCAAAAAGGCTGTAAAAACACAGCAAAAAAGGCTGGATAAAAATAAAGGCTGGCCCAGAATCCATGGACAATCCTAGCTAAGCAGCCACACCTTTACCCCTCTCTAGTAAAAGTCAATAAAATTCAGAATAAAACAAAGAGTACCATGAACGGAGTTGACGTGGAATAACGATTTTCTGTCCTGATTTACGCTCCAAGGATCTCTGTATTTCCAAGGCTCTAGAGCATGAGTTGACACGGGGAAAAACACAGAGGAACGGAAGGACTCTCCCTGCAGATAAAATAAATTAGTTAAATATGGGGTCTCCCTTTTTACGGCATTGAGAAGTTGAGTTGGCTTTTCGCAACATAGAACTGATGAGTTCCATGAAGTAACAATGCCATACGAGAGCAACCAATCAGCTTAGAGCGCGAGCGCGCGAGCTTAAAATCAAATTGGACAACAAATCGAGCAATCTAAAACGGGCGCTGTCTACTCTTTTAATATATAGATTTAGCCAGGGCTAAATGCGAAGCTCTCTTTAATATTAATAGTTTCCTTAAAGAAAATATAAATCGAGTAATACTAAAGACAAGGTGAAAACGACGAGAAGAATGGCAAAACACAACAACAACAATAGATCTAATTAGCAAAAAAACAACTTTGCACGTGCAGCACACTTTTTTTTACTAATTAGCAAAAAAAAAACAACTTTGCACGTGCAGAACACTTTTTTGTACATTTCCTTGCCTTTGCTTTGCACGACTAAAACGTGAAACTTCTTTTATATAACTTCCTATTTACACGTTTTATGGAGAAAATGTTTGTGTCCTGTTCACTCTGATTTTTCACTGCCGCTCATTTTTACCTTGGTAGCCGCTAACATTTCTCATTTTCTCACCGACGATTATAATTTTCACGTTTTTCTTCCAACGAAATTTGCCTCCGTTGTTATTTATTTCTCGTTGTAGCTCTTTCCCTATTATCCAAGTTAATGTAGACATTAATCTTTCTCTCTAAAAGTCCTGGCGGCCATGTGATTAACAGCCGAAACGAGCGGTTGAAATGCAAATTTCACCTCAGCTATAACATATTCCTTCCCCGACGGGCTGCTCCCTGACTCCTTTCCCCATTCCCCTTCCCCAGCGTCTGTACGGACGGGAGGCCGTACACTGACGTCATAACCAAGCTTTTTACCAAATTTTCTTAGCTATGGGGCTCCGTTGTAAAGGTATGCTTCTGAGCCTGACTAAAAGGGAGCAGATTACTTGGAAGCACTAATTTCCTGTTTACATAGAGGGAGGGTAACCATTCCAGAAGGCCTTAGGCAGTTACCAATGTAAATCAAAGCCGCATTTTAAAAATCGAAGTGTATCGTGTAGTAATTGTCTTCATTATTAAAGGACTTTATCACCTTCGCTTGCGTAATTAGATAGATAGCCTTTATTTTAAAACGATGAGTATTAAAGCTACAGGAGCTTGTGGGGTCGTTTGCAATTAACTAATTACAAGTAAACTAAAAAAACTAAAAACTAGGGGTATATACATACAAAACGTTTGGAAGTGAAGCCAGTCAACGCGTGGCCAGGCATACAACGGTAAGCTAGCTAAAAAACTGAAATTATTGTTTGGATTCAAAACATTTGAAAAAGATATGCTTTCATGCCGCTGACACAAGAAGAACTAGGATCATCATTAGCGAAGAATAGTTATTGTAACGAAACCCTTTTTTAAAACTGTCAGTTTTTCTAATGTAAAACTATTTCAATTCACTTTCCCCTATCTCCAGTTGAAAATAAAAGAACAAATGTAATATCTCGAAGACAAGGTTTGGTTCGGTTAAGGGCGAAATTCTGATGACATTGTGATATCATTCTCTACTAGAACAACAGAAAATCGCAAGGATTTAAATAGCAACTTTTACGGAACTTTCGGGCATCTTCTACTAAATCAGTTTATTACCGCATGCACACCTGGTACTGAAATGTGCAGAGAGAAAAGAGTTGAAGTTGGTTAAAACATTCCGGCAAGTAAGAGTACCTACCGAGCATATTTGATTAACAGGTGCAGGCCCCCAAATATTATTCTTGAGCACGTAAGGCAGCGGTGCGCTGTTCGATCGCATTTTTCCAAGCTACAGTAAGTGCTTTAACCTCAAGATTTCCGTTGCTTCATGAGTTAACTTTGTTATGTTTTGCAGTGAGGAGAATATGTAACCAATTTAAGTTACCAAAGAATCTTAGAGGAATTATTTGGAAAACTAAAGTTCAAACCATTGACTTCAAATATTTTTTCTTCTAATTTATCAATTAGACATTGTTAGAAGCGTCTAACAATAACTGACGTCACGAGTTGAAATGAATTATAGCCGAAATAAGTATACGTCATCATTTATTCATCAGAGCCGAGTCTACAACCGCGACGACATATTCTTTATGTGTTTATACCGTTTGTCCTAATTCTGGAATACTGTGACGAGCTTGTCACTAAAAGCATGTTTTCTCTTGCATTCTTTACATGAGTTGCATATCTTGCGTCTGCATGTTTTCGTGCGCTTTGGTCATGTTTAGGCAATATTCACACTATTCCGGATAGCTTTCGAGCAGACACGAAAAGCCCAGGGATGGAGCGGAACAAGTCGTTCACGCCCATCGAAGATCGCGCCGTAGTGTTGGCCGAAAGGATTTGGTGAACTTAATTGGCCACCTCCGAGTTTCAAAAATCCTCATTTTCAAAATGAGGCCAAGTGCACAACCTTTCTGGGTAAAATGAGTTCTATTTGCATGAGAATNTTCTTGAGCACGTAAGGCAGCGGTGCGCTGTTCGATCGCATTTTTCCAAGCTACAGTAAGTGCTTTAACCTCAAGATTTCCGTTGCTTCATGAGTTAACTTTGTTATGTTTTGCAGTGAGGAGAATATGTAACCAATTTAAGTTACCAAAGAATCTTAGAGGAATTATTTGGAAAACTAAAGTTCAAACCATTGACTTCAAATATTTTTTCTTCTAATTTATCAATTAGACATTGTTAGAAGCGTCTAACAATAACTGACGTCACGAGTTGAAATGAATTATAGCCGAAATAAGTATACGTCATCATTTATTCATCAGAGCCGAGTCTACAACCGCGACGACATATTCTTTATGTGTTTATACCGTTTGTCCTAATTCTGGAATACTGTGACGAGCTTGTCACTAAAAGCATGTTTTCTCTTGCATTCTTTACATGAGTTGCATATCTTGCGTCTGCATGTTTTCGTGCGCTTTGGTCATGTTTAGGCAATATTCACACTATTCCGGATAGCTTTCGAGCAGACACGAAAAGCCCAGGGATGGAGCGGAACAAGTCGTTCACGCCCATCGAAGATCGCGCCGTAGTGTTGGCCGAAAGGATTTGGTGAACTTAATTGGCCACCTCCGAGTTTCAAAAATCCTCATTTTCAAAATGAGGCCAAGTGCACAACCTTTCTGGGTAAAATGAGTTCTATTTGCATGAGAATGAAAAATCATTTCCAAATCAAAGCTGATTAGCCTCGTTTTAATACAGAGGTCCGGGGGAACTCGGAAATGGCCTATAGACCAATTTGGCTAACTCAATGTTATACCCAATTCAAACCCTTCGGGAATAAAACGTTTTGTTTCAGGAATTTCTATATCATTTAAATGTGAATGCAACATTATAATGCAAATACAGTACACAAAGAATCTTAACCCCGGGAGATTTAAGTTGGGTACAACACTGAGTTAGCCGAAAAGGTCTATTGCAGTCCTCACTCGCTCCTAAATACTAATTTACTTCCGTTTCGGTGGATTCCAGCCCTCGCTCTTACTCATTCATTTCCGTTACGGTGTGAATACCGGTCCACATTGCACCAAAGTGTGGCACAGAACCAATCCGATATGTGACTCTCCACTTTCGAGATCGGCACGGCGCAGCGGAAATCGCGCCGAAATCACCGTTCTTAAGTGCGAACAGAAGCCCTATCCGGTATGATCTCATAGCCTTAACCTTCGTTGAAACGCGATGCTCTCTCTCTAGCAGTAACCGCGCCTCAGAGGGCGGCTTTTGGCGGCGAGTAAACTTGCTACAAGTCGACCTCTTGGCGAGCGGAGCGAGCCTTGTTTGGCCGCGAAGCGATCGAACGCGAGGGACGAAATCCGACGAAGGACTTTTTTGATAGTCTAGGCGGCGAGTTGACATGCACTTGGTGTTGTTGTTGTCGTCAGTGCTGATAATAAATCGCAGAGCATAAAAATAACTGTACACAATAAATTATTGAAAGGCAACTTTATTCCTTGAAATTCTCATTTACACCCTCACATTTACACACCTTAATAAATTAAAACTAGTTTCTTAATACTTTATTTTTAACCGAATTAATGACAAGATACCTTTACCGTTAGACTCTTCACAACTGTTCGTTTAACGCTTGTAAAACTTCGCAATAGAACTAATGGACACAAAAATGCGTTTAAGGCTAGGGAAGGGAGGGGCGGAAAGCCCTTTCTCGAATTCTTTCTATTGCATTGAGAAACTGACAGACTATATACCTTGAACAGTCTACTATTATTAAAAACTACATATCCATAGCCATGACAATGCTGTCTCAAAAAAAAGGTGCACTGCTACCGCTAGATGGATAAGTCAAAGGGTTACCATTGAGTTTAATCTGAAAAATCAGAAAACGACGTCTGAAATATTGGAAGATTTTAAAATTGAATTTGCAGGAAAGTAATTTCTTCAGCACAACTTAGCCCTTTAAATAACCCTTGGACTTTTTTACTTCTTACTTTGTCAAATTATAGTTTTATTTTTCTTGTCTGTGAATGTCCTTCCGTTGCCCCGTATCAACATACTATTCAGACACTTAAACTCGGAAAAACAGCTACATAATTTCTCTACGCACTGTCAATAACCCGGCCTTAATCATGAATTTCTTTTAAGACTTATTGGACAGGTCACAACTTATTTAACAAAAAGAATTTTGACTTAAAAGTAACGTTAATTTATTCTAGTTCAATACAGGAACGACCAAATTAACAAGCACAACGGAAAGTGATTCTATCAAAGTGCTTACTAGTAATAAAGCAAAAATACTTCATAAATCTTATCACATCGATTTTATGTACATTTGTTTCTAATAAATATAGTTTGATCATATAACAATCCGGGTCAATCTTCTTTTAGCAAATTGAAACAAAGAATTTCGAAGTGCGTGAATCTTGAATGCCCTAGCTGTTTTGTAGTTTTACGAACTTCAGTTTTTTTTACAGTGTGTACACTGTACAATA